TGCTCTTGACAAACATAGTCACGCCTCCCCGCTGATCATACGACTGCAGCATATCCTAAAAGATAATCGGCACGCACATGTTGACCTAGTATGGATTAAAGCCCATGCAGGTAACATGGGTAATGAGACAGCGGATGAACTCGCTAAAGAGGCTGCTTCGAACCAAAATGCCAGACCGATATCAGTATCAGCACCACCATCTTTCCTCAAAAGTCAACTGCGAAATGCCGCTATCCAGTGGTGGCAAAGAGAATGGGATCAGGGCGACACGGGAAGGAGAGCGCATAGCTTCTTGCCAAAAGTAACCACGGAGCGCCTTATGGCAATTGCTCCCCTTACCAACTTCATTACTGGTCATGGTCCCTTCCCGGATTACTTCTACCGCCGCACCATCTCAACCACGGATCGCTGTGTTTGCGGGGGGGGGGAGGGGTCACCGGACCATTATATCTTTCAGTGCCCACTCACGGAACAGTTCCACTTCCCGATACCAGCCAATATCTCAGCATTTCACAAGTTCCTAGCCAAAAACAGAGCGGCCATAAATAAAATCTGCAAAATAATAACCACCATTGCAGCATATGGCCAGGACCTCTGTCAACCAGAGTAATAGGGCTTACATGCATTACTTGCACTGACATATGCACTCTAATGCTCTACCATCTAATCTCTGACTGCATAGGGAGCAGAAGAAAATTGAACACCATTTTTAGGTGTTTAATTTTCTTCTTTTGTTATAACCTATTTTTTTTTCCGTGCCTGTATGTTAATTCAAATGTACTTCAAATGCCAGATGTTAAACAGTTGCCTCTGTATGGCCATGTATCCGCACTTATAACTATTAAATAAACTCCAGGGGAGGACGCGGGACATATGCCTGTTAATCTCTGTTAACTTCAGGCGTCCCCGTCCTCCGTCACCTGTCACCTGCGACGAGCAGCCCGAGTGAGTGGCAGGTAGCAAGCAGACGACTGGCACTGACATATGGCGATTGGTGACAATATCCTTCAAGGTGCGGGGAAGGGGGTTGAACCCCCGGAACTATTCCAAGGAATTGTTGGCTATGTAGTGCCGACCTTTATGGCGTGGCGGAGTATGTAGTCCACAAATCCAATTACCTACTTTACTTCGTAAGTACTCAAAGAACTGTCACCAGATGATCCGGCCTGGTCAGAATTTTTGTCGTCATCCAGAATACGGGTGACAATGCAGTCAAACTATTAAAACTGGTTTACGAAGCAAGGTTGGTAGGGAAATTTTTTAAAATAGGGTGGATAAATAATTTCCTCTTCCAGAATACATCCAGAATTTCCTCTTCCTTCCAACCATTTCATCCCTCATATAGGTGACAACAGATAACGAGCGACCTGCTTTTCTTTAGAACTACAATTGGACACATGTAAGTGTCACAGTAAATAAATAAATAATTTTAAAAAAAAATCTCGAAAAATCTTCCACTCAGTGTTTGTTGAGGTTTTAAATGTATATATAAAGGAAGGAGTACCTTCGAGGAGGATTTTCTAAGGAAACTGACTCGTATTCACATCAAGAAACACGCCTATCGTTTCAATTTAGTGAACCCATAATGGCAACATAATGTATATTTTTCAAATTGTATTCCTATATCATGTCTGTGTTAGGTAATTCTTTATTTTTATGAATACCTTTAGATAATACAGTTCGTGCATTTTGTTCTTTTATCACTCTGCAGAATGAATGATATGAAAACACAATGCACGTGCGAGGCTTATTTATAAATTAAAATAAAACAGCTTTTGTCGTAGATGATAGATTACTGCACATTATAGTAAATTATTTACTTCATGTAAAAAAATACTGCATCAAAGAAAAGAAATATAAGCAAAACTCTGTATTTTGGCTGTAATCACTTACATCCATTCTGATGTTTGCATAATAACCTGAAATGGTTTTCGTTAAAAGAAAAACACTTACCGTAACTGGTGTCAAAGGCGCAGATGTATTCGGAGGTCTGAAACTGTCGGATGAGCGATGTTTTGCCAACATCATCTGCACCCATAATGGCAACTTTGTACCTAAAATAAAATCCATAATAATTTAAACTATTTACCTGGAAATGTTACTTGGTGATACGAAAAGAACTAACAGTATGATAGTACGAAAAACAGTGATTAGAAACTGAGTTAAATTTTCTACAGCGTGAAACGTTTTTGATATACTTATCAAAAACTGAGTGCAGAAAACTGGTCAAGCTCTGAATTTCTTAATATTACATAAAAGGGTTTTAAATAACTCCACCACATGCTTAATTTATCTATGCATATAGTTAAATTATGTATGCAATACCATTGAGCTAGGGCACTGCAAAAGAACTTTACAGTGCACTTTGCTGCAAAAGCCCTTTGCTGCAAAAGGAGGAGAGACGAATGAATAGAACATACTATTACGTAATAATAATAATAAAAAAACTTAAATCCCCAAAACAAAAAATATCTGAAAGGTTTCAGATTTTAAATTACGTCCAAACGGGCGTTTTTTTAACGTTTTGTGTGTTACCTTTATTTATTAAATATCATGTTCTACGTACTCAAACCATAAAATTCAGTTCTACAGCAATCTCGTAAAATAATTTTAAAATGAGCATATCTTTAGAATTTCCGATACAGAGTCTCGCGCTCTGGAGATAAAAATGCTTTTTTTCGCACAGTGTTGCCATTGCTCACTTTGAAATCGTTCAGTTTTTTAACCAAAAATTCGTTTAAGTGTTACAAAATATGAAATCGATAATAAAACAAATTTGAAATTCAAATTAGGGCTTCCACATACCCAAATTCTATGAAAGATTACGTAACTCAAATTTTGATGGCTCTATGTACCGTCGTTTTATCCCAATGCAAGAACGTACATATTCATGCAGATTCTTCATTATTTAATTTCTTTAAATATAATACAGAGCTCTAATATTTGGTGGCCACAATTTGAAAAGTGATTCGCCGTTTATAGGTTTCAACGAAATCGAAATTAATAGTCCTTAAGGGCAAATTGCCCCTTTGGACTAATAATAATAATTAGATGCAAGGAATGTTACTGGTGCATCTATATGATATATAAATCAAATAAAAATTGCAAATATTCTGATTTCTAAGCATAAAAACTATTAAAACGCAAACTGAAGAAACATCACACAGTTATGTTTCTTTTCTTAAAGAATATCGTTTCTTAAAACCAAACTATTAATAAAAAATAAAAAGCATAAAAGCAATTGTAATATTTAATAAGCCACTGGATAATTTTATTGTAATTATTATATTTAACTTCTATGCAGTTCAAAGCATATAGCTCGGTTTGGTTAATTTGGTTAAGTAAGTCAAAGGAACTTGAGAACTAACTGCCTACAAGGAAAGATGCGTTCGTTGAAGACCTTTTAGGGAAACTGCCTCCACGTTACGCATAGTGAAATCCACCAAAACTCCCATGCAGCCCCAGCCCGTTCGCCGATGTCCGAACTCGAGTCGAACTATTAGCAATCAGCGACTTTACCGTTAGGCGGCTGGTGGTCCCTATAAAAGTTACTGAATTCCTGATAACTTCTGCGCATAATGTTTTCCTATAGAATAAATCCATAAACACATGTAAAGTAAAATTCAAATCATTATACATAGATGTACTGAAAATTATGGCGTTGGAAACATGTTTTATTAATTACAGAAATGGTGCAAATGCACATAGAGATGATCAGTCGAATAAATTATAATAGTTAAATGTATCATAAATTAAACCGGTACTACGTACTCAAACCATAAATATGTACTATGACGACTACCTCGGCGACATTTGCCGATAAAAATCTTCATTATCGTTTTTTAGTTTTTGTTTATAAATTGTTTTAAAAATAAAAGCCCTAATTATAAAGAACAAAAACTTAGAAACCAAAAATTACGAATAATGATAACCTATTTCTGCAAAAGATTGTGTTTACCGATGAGGCGACATTCCATGTTAGTAGAAATGTTCATCGCCATAACATCCGAATATGGGCTGCTGAAAATCCTCATTCCTACGTGGAGTACGAACGTAACAGCCCTAGTGAGCGTGTAGTGTGGCTTGATGCATGATAAAGTGATAGGGCCATTTTTCTTTGCGGAGTAGACTGTGACGGCATGGATGGAGCCCACATCGAGCTGCACTGCATTGGTATGAAACTTCAAGAGGTTTTCTTTTGTTTGGTGAAGATTTCACATTTCTATCTTGTTTTGTTGCTTTTCTGTGACCGATCAAAAGTGCACCATGACTTTACGGACGCACTGTATATATAAACTATATACTAAATACGAATTTTAAAAAATTAAAATTAACTTACTTAGAACTGGTTAAGAGAAAACATTGAAGTTAATGGTGAAGACAGTGGCTGAAAATAGCATCGAAAGGCATTTCCTGTTTTTTCCTCCAAATAAATTCAGCTAAATAGGTATTCAAATGATGGCGGCTTGTCCTACGTTGTCGCTTGTTCCTCCATTTTGCGGAAGCCCACATCCTTTCAACGTGCTTAGTATGAGTCTGCGTAGATGAGTCAACAAAATTGTATCGATGATTCACCTTAAAATGTTCAAAACCGGCAGCAATGAGCTCCTCTGTTTGATACCCAGGTCACGAATCCGACATTATTGTTGAGTCTTCAGCAATATTATTTTGGATTTCACGCATTAATGTTGTTGCCTTCCGGCCTGGAATTCTGACTAAAATGTTTCTTTTGTTTCCCGGCAAATTCCAACCAAAGACCCACTGTTACGACCTTGATTAATCTTTCGACGCATAACAAGGCTTTCGTCAATTTCGACAATCGTTCCGGGCCTTCCAATTTTAATATTTCGATTATCCTCCAAATCCTTCTCACAGACCTCACGCATATATAATTATTCCAATCAAGAATTTTCTTATCGGATAAATCCAACTGATGTTTGCACCATTTAATGGACGATTGTTCATATGCCCAAAAGTAAATAAATCTTAAAGCTTTTAAAAATTCAATACGAGTTTTTCAAACCACGTACCATTTCGGACACCAAACTTTTGTTGACAATTTTCGACTTCGCATCTTCAATAAAATCCTGAATTATAAAACTTCACATCATGGTCGTTTTTACAGACGCGTTCTTTGGGTAAAATACCATCATCTCTGAAACATTCTGTAGCTTCTTCTCCATTTGAAGGAAGTTGGAAAATGCTGATATCCGTTAGGAAAAAAATAATCAGAAAAAGTTTCACGTGTTTAACCTAAATGTAATAATCCGCATAAATTTATCAAAAGAAGGTGTGGTAATAGCAAGTGCGGAACTAGTGCGGTATAATGCTCTTTATTTTAGAGCCCTCTATAACCTACGTTAGAGTTAACCTATATAATCAACAAGGGTCGCCAGTTTTGGCGAGATATCTAGGTAGTTGTCATAATACGTAAGTACCATTAAACCCCCTTAGCTATAATTATTAAAAGAAGTAATAGAGATATAAATTAAATTGATTGGTCGTGATGTAACTTCCTTGCCTGACATTAACATCAAAGAAAGTCGAGGAATTTTATCGTAGCGAGGAGTGCAGGATTGCATCTGTTATTGTAATGGCCATTAGGCACCTTATGGTACAACGTTGCCCAACTTAATGCCAATTTGAAAGGAGAAACCACGGGCAACAGATCCTTCAATTTCAATCCCCAGTTTCAATTAGCGTGTATTTTATGTGTCCCTTTGCCGAAAAAAACACTACACACTTACAAACATTCAAACGTTCTCCAATATTAAAACTTGGGCCCAATGATATATCAGCCAGAATCGCTAACTATTATGGTGACAATCAGATGTCAGTCATATGTCAGACTAAGACAGCAATGATGCCTCTAAAATCTATAAATAATCCGCACAAGTATTAGCAGTCAGTCTCCTAATATGAATGAAATTATTAAATAGAGCCGCGCTCTAGGTACGGTAATTTGCAAACACTGGATACAGAACCGTCCTCTAGGTACGGTATTTAGCCAAAACTGTATACCTAATGGGTGAAAGCCTTGTTGCCACTCCTAAATTCTTCTGTCCTATTCCTCCAAAGTTTTGCAGCCTCCCACCAGTTACAATGACTCTAGTGTTGGCCTTGAACCTAAAGTCTGGAGCCTAAATCTCTACTATAGCATGGATATTTGCTATTGCAATTCTTGTGTAGAACAGCAACATTTAAAATACTTTGAACCATTAAATATTCTTACTGTTGCCGAAGAAAATTGTTCAAATATAATAACATTTGTATTAATTTTAGTTAATAATAATAATAAAATGGTAAGAATAACCTGATATTGCTATATTGATCAGATAAATGTTTTCATAAATTGAAAGTCTCATGACGCGCATACAGATAATCTGCTCTTAACAGTTCTGACAAAAATCGTGACACGCATGTCTTTCGTATTGAAGTTTTAGAAATTACTTGCCTAAAGATATTTCTAGCGTCAAAAATCCTTCTGTTCTATTTGTCAGTGCAATCTTCGTAGATGGATAAACTCAAGTCTAGAGAGCTTTCGGTGCTACTAGTAAACATCAGAAAATACAAGCGATATTTCTGTAACTGACAGATTTTGAAAATCACCAGGAGGGTACATTTTTCTGTCAAATAAACGAAATGCTTTTATTCGATTGAATTACGGTAGAATCATTCTAAGTGAAATAAAAATAAAAATGAATAAAATTTCCTTGCTGCTGTTCCAAGACGTCATCAACTTCCTCTATTTCTTCTAGAGCGAAGTTTACTTTTTTTTATACGTTCGATGTTATCAGAAAACGCAATCTTTGGGAATTGTATAAAATGTTTACTGACATTTTTACATGGAGACGTATTAGTTATTTTAACTACAAAAGGAGGATTTTATGATCCTTGAGATTTGATCAGCTTCTTTCCTGTCCTTTCATAGGTTCAGGGATTAATTATGAAAGAAATTAATTACTAATAAATAAATAAAGAGCCATTGAGTTAAATAAGAGGGAATTAAAAATGATTCATGGGAATTCAAACATTGTATTCCATAAGATACCGC